ATGCATTAAAGCATTTTGCATGTATTAACTCTTAATCCTCACCACAACCCTATGATTTAAGTCCTATCATTTAACCCACTTTACAAACGAGCAAACTGAAGATGTAAGTAACTTCCCTGAGGTCTGATGCCTAGCAAGTAGGTGTGCTGGGGTCTGAACCCAGGTCATGTGAAGAGTCTGCACCCTTAGTACAGAATATATGGTTTCTCAAGTAGAAATAGGGAATAGGATGGGAAGGAATTTTAAGAGCAGTTGGTTGAGTTATAGTCCTATCCACGCCTTCAGCATGTGACTTGGAGTCACTATACTCAGTTTCCAAATTCTTCAAATTGGGAATGTTATTGCTTGAACCTCTGATCTCAAGAGTTTTGGTGAAGATCATATCAGACAAAGCATGTCACAGCTCTCTGTAGAAGTTGCTACTTCTACAAAGTAGAAGGCTATAAGGTACTAGCCTTGTCACTCCTATTAGAGAACCTGGAAACAGAACTTGGACCTTTTATTAATATATTTTTATTTATTTATTTATTTATGGCTATGCTGGGTTTTCATTGCTTTGTGTGGGCTTTTCTCTAGCTGCAGTGAATGAGGGCTATTCTCTAATTGTGGTGCACGGGCTTCTCCTTGTGGTGGCTTCTCCTGCTGTGGAGCACAGGCTCTAGAGCATGTGCTCAACAGGCGCAGCTCCTAGAATCTAAAGCACAGGCTCAGTAGTCCTGGTGCAGGGTCTTAGCTGCTCCGTGGCACATGGGATCTTCCCAGACCAGGGATTGAACCTACATTCCCTACATTGGCAAGTGGATTCTTTACCACTGAACCACCAGGGAAGCTTGAACTTGGGCCCTTGAAATGCAGCTTTTAATCTAAAGCAGAATTATCCTTGCTGCTCTTCTGATTAATAAACAATGTTTTGTGGGGGGGGGGGAGGGCATGGAAAAGAAGTATCAGCTATTATTTTAGATCTTCTTCAGTTCTATAAACTGATATTTTTTCACTTAATCACTAAAAATATACATGAAACCAGCAACTGTTTCCTTCAAAAAGTTCTTCACTAACTTCCCACAACCTTGGGGTCTCAAAGTTCTCAAGAAAGTAGGGCTGAAAGACCAAGATTTTCACTGTTGGTAATTATGTTTTCATAGGTCAATACTGTGTGTATATTGAATTTAGTTTCCTAAATTTTCCTCACTAAACACATACAGACAGGGATCAGGAGTCCTGCTCCTAGACCAAGTCACTGTCTTTACCCTGGAATTAAATCTCAAGAACCCCTTCTACTCAGAGAAGTAAACGAAGGATAAGGGATGCTTTGACTACTGGTTCTTCAGTGTCTAGTCAACAGCAGTCTTCTCCCCTTCTGACAGCCCTGAGAGCCCAGGCGAGGTGAGAGAAGGTGGACTTGCAGTGGTGCCGAGCCAATCTGAGAGCACAGGCTCACTGAAGTGCAAACCTGGGCTCATCAGGGCTGGGGTTTTCCAGGGAGTCCAGTGAAAGGACAACGGGTCATGGCTTTTGAGGATGTTGGCAAGAGTGTACCTGAAGTGATGACTGGAAATGAAAACTGAATAGAGAAGAAAGTAAAGATTAAAAGAGCCGATCAAGTAATGGATGCAGTTGGAATAACTGAGAAAGGGATGTGGAAAAACACAACGTTGTAGTGAAAAAGTACGAGTTCACATTTTAGTGGCGGAGATGTGTTCAGGGTGAAGCCCGAAGTGTGGGTCACGGAAGTGAAGTGAGGAGAATGTCACTGGATCTGAGGAGGCGAAGGAACCCAGAAGCAACAGGGCTGGATGGATTCTCCACACAGGGGATGAGGACAACAAGGACAGCAGCAGGATTTGGGCCAAAGCGGATAACTGTGAGCCAGGTACTAAAGTGAGGGCCAAGGCAGGGGAGCACAGACAGGGATGAGGAGGGATAGAGCAGGCAGGGAGATGGCGGGACCACAGAGGAAGAGTGTCCAGAAAGGGGCCGTGGTCTGAGAGGGGAAGTGACAGTGAAGTCCAGAGAGTGTGGGAAGAAGCAACAGCATTCCTGAGAGGGCTGCAGGAGAAGCAGGTGCCCGGGGTTAAGTCAGGTTTCAGGCAGGAGACAGAGGGAGAGCCACTGGTGAACCAGATGAGGCTGTGGGCACATTCCAGAGGACATGGGGTACAGAGGGAGGCTGCGTCACCAAGACCAAGGTGGGCAGAGTAGGAAGCGGATAAACATGAAGAAGGGGGAAATGACCAGCTCTCTCACTTTATTTATATCTTCATTGTCTTCTATGTAGTTTAAAAGCTTTTGCAAATATTTTTCATAACAATGTGGTGTATACTTAAAAAAATCCATTTATCTATGGACACCTTATCTTTGACAAAGGAGGCAAGGATATACAATGGAAAAAAGACAATCTCTTTAACAAGTGGTGCTGGGAAAACTGGTCAACCACTTGTAAAAGAATGAAACTAGAACACTTTCTAACACCATAGACAAAAATAAACTCAAAATGGATTAAAGATCTAAATGTAAGACTATATTTAACTAAGACTATATGTAACTATATGTAACTATATGTAACTATATGTAACTAACATAAGACTATATGTAACTATAAAACTCCTAGAGGAGAACATAGGCAAAACACTCTCTGACATAAATCACAGCAGGATCCTCTATGACCCACCTCCCAGAATATTAGAAACAAAAGCAAAAATAAACAAATGGGACCTAATTAAACTTAAAAGCTTTTGCACAACAAAGGAAACTATAAGCAAGGTGAAAAGACAGCCTTCAGAATGGGAGGAAATAATAGTGAACGAAGCAACGGACAAAGGATTAATCTCAAAAATATACAAGCAACTCCTGCAGCTCAATTCCAGAAAAATAAATGACCCAATCAAAAAATGGGCCAAAGAACTAAACAGACATTTCTCCAAAGAAGACATACAGATGGCTAACAAACACATGAAAAGATGCTCAACATCACTCATTATCAGAGAAATGCAAATCAAAACCACAATGAGGTACCATTACACGCCAGTCAGGATGGCTGCTATCCAAAAGTCTACAAGCAATAAATGCTGGAGAGGGTGTGGAGAAAAGGGAACCCTCTTACACTGTTGGTGGGAATGCAAACTAGTACAGCTGCTATGGAGAACAGTGTGGAGATTTCTTAAAAAACTGGAAATAGAACTGCCATATGACCCAGCAATCCCACTTCTAGGCATACACACCGAGGAAACCAGATCTGAAAGAGACACGTGCACCCCAGTGTTCATTGCAGCACTGTTTATAATAACCAGGACATGGAAGCAACCTAGATGCCCATCAGCAGATGAATAGATAAGGAAACTATGGTACATATACACCTGGAATATTACTCAGCCATTAAAAAGAATTCATTTGAATCAGTTCTAATGAGGTGGATGAAACTGGAGCCCATTATACAGAGTGAAGTAAGCCAGAAAGATAAAGACCAATACAGTATACTAATGCATATATATGGAATTTAGAAAGATGGTAATGATAACCCTATATGCAAAACAGAAAAAGAGACACAGATGTACAGAACAGACTTTTGGACTCTGTGGGAGAAGGCGAGGGTGGGATGTTTTGAGAGAACAACATCAAAACATGTATATTATCAAGGGTGAAACAGATCACCAGCCCAGGTTGGATGCATGAGACAAGTGCTCAGGGCTGGTGCACTGGGAAGACCCAGAGGGATGGGGTGGGGAGGGAGGTGGGAGGGGGGGATCGGGATGGGGAATACATGTAAATCCATGGCTGATTCATGTCAATGTATGGCAAAAACCACTACAATATTGTAAAGTAATTAGCCTCCAACTAATAAAAATAAATGGGGGAGGAAAAAAAAAAACTTGAACTTTTAAACATTTCATGCCAGACACAAACCTGAAGTCATTTTAAAAAGCTCACGATAAGGGAACAGGGAAATTCTCAGATGATGGTTGATCAACAGGATACTGATAAACTTAAGAGTTTTTACTATTATTCTGCATTAATTATTCTTGGCTTGAAGGAATACAGGAAAGAAGAAACAGGTAAGTACATAACTAGAAACACATATTAGTGTTGCTGAAGGAATATAAAAAGGTACACTCAGTTCTTTGACATACTATTTATCCATCTCCTTAAAAAATCACAAGTGAACAGAGTCAGTGCTACAAGGAGCACAGTATGTTTGTGTTGAAGACACACTACTTTATTTCCGAATTTCACTGAGACAACTACAGACTGAGAAGGTGTAGAGAAGGCTCTTCCCATCCACACTGCACTGGTGCTAGAGAGCTTGGTGAAGATTAAGAAAGTTGGTGCTTTTAGTAAACTTCGAACCTCCTCTCCCAGAAGACTGTATACAGGCTAATACATACGATACTCCACTTACTATTTCAGGGGATTTGTAATCCACCCAAGACCATTTTTGGGCCAAGACTAAGACTAAGTGAAGTTTAGGATAGTGGCCCAAACAAGCCATTCGGAGAGCTTGCTTCTGAGGAAAGAAGACATTTTGTTTGAGAAATTTTCAAGGGGAAAAAGTAAGGAAGCCCATCTTTCAGGTTCAGATGAATCTGGGGATAGTGGCTTTGAATCAGGAGAAGTGAATGGATGCAAGGACCAGAAAAACACAGCCTTTATCCCCAATCCCTAGCTATAGGAGTGACAGGCCACACCTTGAAATGTGGTACGCATTTTAATCTTGCTGGGAAACCCAGGGATGAGAGACATGTAAGAGGCAGAAATGAGTTTAAAAACGCCCAGAGTCTGGAAACAGACAAACGTAGCATTAGAGGACTTGGGTTTAATTAGTTCACTGTTGAGAAGGCCTAGTGTTTCTAAGCCTCACATGCAAAGATAGTTCAAGGGCTGGGGTGAAAATTAAGTTAACTAAAAAAGTGATATGTTCAGCAAAGAGCCCGGCACGCGGTGGCCCAAAGCAAATGGCAGCACTTGACAAATGCAGATTTGGGGAGTGACACTGCTCATGTTCTTACCGAGAACGCCAACAGAGGAGATGGGCCGTCCCGATGCTGTTTTCCAGGAAGCCCCAGAGGGAGTGGACCACTTATTTGCCATCCTCTCAGCAAAGAAAGCATATTGCAGGGCCCTGGCCTGCCCTGAGGTATTAAGGTACAGGCCCAGCTCCTTTTCCTTCTGGCTTCCCATGTCATATGGATATTGGACAGCAGCCTGGACTGCACGGACACAGGCCTCTGGAGACAGCCACCCAGGGTACCGCTTCCGCACATGCAGAAGGGCTTCACTGAAAATGGCATCCATGTTGGGCAGGCTCGGGACTGGCATGTTGCAGATTCTACGGGATTCTGGAGATTGATCTAAAAGAAATAAGAAACAAAATTTGGAACTGTTACCTATATCAAAGGATTGTGCACATATAATTATAAATACTTTTTAAGATATTTTTTCCATTAAATGATTAATTAATGTGTTTCTTTTTAAATATCTTTTTAATTGGAGGAAAATTGCTTTACAATGTTGTATTGGTTTCTGCCATCCAATATCAAGAATCAGTCATAATTATACATACATATATATATAAATATATATATATTTATATATCCCTCTTAGGCCTCCCTCCCCTCCCCTCTAAACTTCCCTCCTGGCCCCTATTCCCCCCAGTCATCACAGAGTGCCAGGCTAGGCTCCCTATGTTATATAGCAGCTTCCTGCTAGCTATTTTACACATGATAGTGTATATATGTCAATGCTCCTTTCTCAATTCATTCCACCCACTACTTCCCCTGTTGTGTCCACAAGTTCATTCTCTATGTCTATGTCTCTATGCCCTCCTTGAAAATAGGTTCATCAGTACCATTTTTCTAGATTGCAGATATATGCATTAACATATAGTATTTGTTTTTCTGACTTACTTCACTCCTTATAATAGGCTCTAGGTTCATCTACCTCACTACAACTGACTCAGTTGTCAAGATATTTAATGTGACACTAATAACAAAATCTCTGACATCTTTGCAACTTAGTCCCATAAGATAGAATTTAATAAAAAAAAGATAGAATTTAATAGATTCAAAGCAATTTCAAGTTACCTAATTGATGCATAAAAGTTACATCTTCCTTTTACTTCAAGGCCAAGATAACATTATGATAGATTAGTTATATTAATCTGCCAGTGAGCTTAAGGAAAATAGTTCTGAGTTAATAATATTTTAGATTCAAAATAATTTTAACTCCATTCTTAACAGTAACAAAACCTTTAAAATACCTAGAAAAGGAGACAGTATAATACTGGCACAAAGATGGACATACAAATCAGTGGAAAAAACTGAGTTAAGAGATAAACCCTTACAATCATCACCAACTGATTTCCAACACAGGTGCCAAAACAATTTAATGAGAGAAAGGAGAGTTTTTTTTTAAACAAACAAAGCTGAGGCCAACTGAATATCCACATGAAACAAGTAAACAGGTCCTTACCTAGCACCATATATAAAAATTAACTCAAATATGGGTCATAAATCTAAATTGAAGAGTTAAAACTATAAGGCTTTCTTAAAAAAATAAGAAAAATCTTTATGATATTTGGTTAAGCAAAGTATTCTTAGCACAATTGACAAAAGAAAAAATTCATTAAGTTAGACTTCATCAAAATTAAAGACTTTTGTACTTCAAAGAACATCATTAAGAAAATGAAATGATAAACCATAGACTAGGAGAAAATATTTGCATGGTAGGCAAAATAACACCCTTCCCAAACATCTACTTCCTAATCCCCAGAACCTATGAATATATTATCTTACATGGCAAAGAGACTCTACAGATATGATTAAGGTTAAAGACCTTGAGATGTGATGTTTACCCTGTATTATCCAGGTAGGCCCAATCTAATTTTATGAACCCTTAAAAGAGGAGGGCCTCTCTCAGCTGTAGTGAGAGAAGAAGAGGCAGAGAGATGCCACACAGAAAGTTCCACTGATAACAATGTGGCTTTGAAGATGGAGGAAGGGGGCCAAGAGCCACTCCTCGAGGCTAGGAATGGCCATGAGTTTACAACCAGCAAAAACACAGAGACCTTGGTCCTACAACACAAGTATTGAATTCTGCCAACAACTCAAGTGAGCAATAAACAGATTCTCCCCAAGAACTTTCAGAAAGAAGTGCAACTATTGACAGTTGGGTTCAGTCCAGTGAGACCCCTACCAGACTTCAGACCTGTAGATAGATAAGATAATACATTTGTATTGTTTAAACTGTTGAGCTTGCTGAGCTTGTTATATCAATCAACAGACAATGAATACAACGTGCATATCAAATATCTAATGAAGTGTCTATATCCAGAGTATATAAAGACCTCTTATGACTCAATAATAATAAGGCAAGGAACTCAGTTTTAGAAATGGGTGAAAACTTGAGTGGATATTCCACCAAAGAGCATATGTGTGCATGTGTTAGTCACTCATGTCCAACCCTTTGCAGCCTATGGACTATAGTCCACCAGGCTCCTTTGTCCATGGGATTTTCCAGGCAAGAATATTGGAGCAGGGTTGCCACTCCCTTCTACAAGTGATCTTTCCAACCCAGGAATGGAAGCCAGGTCTCCCACATTGCAGGCAGATTCTTAATCATCTGAGCCACAATTGTTCAGTTATCTTGTGAGTAAGCCAATCAGTTTATGGGCTCCCCTGGTGGTTCAGACAGTAAAAAATCTGCCTGCAATGCAGGAGACCCAGGTATGATTCCTGGGTCAGGAAGATCCCTGGCAAAGGGAAAGCCTACCAACTCCAGTACTCTTACCTGGAGAATTCCATGGACAGAGGAGGCTGGCAGATTGTAGTTCATGGAGTCGCAAAGAGTAGGACACGACTGAGTGACCAACACTCTTATTTTTTTTCAAGCTCAGCAGAGAAAGAAGAAGACCCTTCCAGGACCTACAGCTGATTTAATTTCCTAGTGGCCCATAAGAGAGATAAGAACAGATAGTGGGGAGAGGGAAGTGGGGGGAGAGGATCAAGTGGATTAGGAAAGAGGTCAGAGCTGTCAGTTTTGTGGCACCTGACAACAGGTGGCTAGTACAGTCTTTGTGGGGACAGGGCTTAGATGGGTTTGGGATATCTCAGAGCTGGATCTCTGTCCTTGTGACGCTACCACCAGCCCCACCATCACAGGGGCTGAATCTCAACATCATAGCGCACATCAGAGTTATTTTAGGACTTTTAAAGATGACCATGCTCCACTGTGAACTCAGTTAAGATTCTTAAAGGGTGGGGTCTGGACATGAGTATTTTTTAAAAATTCAATAGGTGATTTTGGGACTTCCCTGGTGGTCCAATGGCTAAGACTCTATGCTTAGAGGGGGGCCCAGGTTTGATACTTGGTCAGGGAACTAGATCCCACATGCCACAACTGAAGATCCCACATGCCACAACTGAAGATCCCACATGCCACAGCTAAGACCTGGTACAGTTAAATAAAAAGAAAAAAAAATCAATAGTTGCTTTTGAGCTATAGCCTTTTGGAGGTCCAAGAGCAGAGCATTTATCAGCCACCATATCAGAAGTCATCTGCAGCTCCTGGCTACTTTGACCTGACAGAGATTGAAGCAAGAAAAGAAAGAAAAAAAAGGAAGAAGAAAAACACTTAATGGTGTGCCGTAATTTTAGCCAATTGGCACACTCCTAGTATCTCAGGGACACTCAGAACCTCTGAGACTGCAGACAGGCATTTTGGGATCCCCCACAGCACTTGTCCAGACCAAACTAAGCATATCTATTGGAGAGTGTTGGATCAGGGCACAACCGTTAGGAGCGGTTTTCCCTGCTCAATTTCCTATCCTTTTTGTTCTGTGGCTGTAATTGAAGGATGCTATTATTTTACAACTTCATTTTATTCCTACAAAATTATTCAGAATTTCCCCTCTGGGTCTACGGGTAGGGTGTTTTCAAAGTGTATTCCTTAGACACACGCTAGTTTTAAAGTCACTCAGCTGTACCTACATAATAAGAGAGGCAGGAGTGTGCAGGTCAGAGCCAGCACTAGCTCCCCAGGAAAATGGGAAAGAGAGGAGCTAATTAATGATTCACGTATGCTTATAATTGAATTCTTTCCCTGACCCATTCATATTTTTTTCTTAATTCTTTGAAGTTTTCTAAGGCAGAAGTTTTCATTTTAAAAAATAAGTGAATCATATGCCTCAAGGATGAAAAGGAGATGATTATTTTCCCTTTTTCCTTTCTAGTAAGCTGACAAGAAGAGATTTTCTCTCTCTAGGATAAAGAGAGACAATGTACAGTGTGCAGTTTACAAAAATAGTTTCCTAAGACATACAGGATTCTCTCTAACTCTGATAAACAGACTCTCTCTCATAGCAGCTCTGCAAAGGACAGAAAAACTGCACTTTTTCTGGGCTTGAGGGGGTCCCCAAAGAACTGGGGTACATAAAAAAGAAGCCCGATTTAGATATGTGCTTAGACTTCCCTGGTGGGCCAGTGACTAAGGCTCCATGCTCCCAATGCAGGGGGCCTGGGGTTTGATCCCTGGTCAGGGAAGTAGATCCCACATGCTGCAACTAAGACCCAACACAGTCAAAGAAATAAATAAAAACAAATACTGGTACTTCCCTTGTGGCTCAGAGGTTAAAGTATCTGCCTGCAATGCGGGAGACCTGGGTTCGATCCCTGGGTCAGGAAGATCCCCTGGAGAAGGAAATGGCAACCCACTACAGTATTCTTGCCTGGAGAATCCCATGGGTGGAGGAGCCTGGTGGGCTACACTAGTCCATGGGGTCACAAAGAGTCGGACATGACTGAGTAACTTCACTTTAGGCTTCCTAGGTAAGGCAGTATCACTCTGCTTCTGTGAAACATGTTTATGCAAATGTTCACAGAGAGTAAAAATAAATTACAAAGAGCAAAAGATAAAATGGAAGAGAAAGACAGATGAAACCACTAAGATTTTTTTTAAGTCACAAAATCAAATGGACAAACAGATCAAGGTCTTTGAGCAGAATAAGAATTGCTAAAAATGCCTACCACAGCCCAGGGCAGACACAGTAATAGGATCAGGGTTTGCTGGAGGGACAAAAACAGAGCACTGGGTTCCTGAGCTGAGGCTCTCTCTTGGATGCCCTCGTGCTCATCTTCAGCTAAGAGCACACACTTTCAGCTTCATGCCAGAATCACACTCGTGGGAACAGGGGTTCTTACTCCATTTGGGAACAAGCAGGCTGCTGGCCAAATGCAAATAAGCCACATTTGACAGGACCCTCCCCTCCTCAGTTTAGCCAAAGCAATCTGGTTTGGCCAAGCAACTGAACTGCTCCGCTAAATCCATTGCACTGCAGTCATCAGGGAGGCCTCGT